CCAGGGAAATAGATTTCAGTGCCTGCCTCACCCAGATGTACTTCCTTCACTGCTTTTTAGTGATGGAGTCTGGGTTCTTCGTGGCCATGGCTTTGGATCGTTATGTGGCCATCTGCCATCCCCTGAGACATTCCACCACCCTGACAAACCCCGTGGTGGCCAACATCGGTGTGGCCGTGGTACTGCGTGGTGGTATGATCATACTGCCCTCTTTCCTCCTGGCAAGTCAGTGGCCATATTGCAGAACAAACATCATTCCCCACACGCACTGTGAACACATGGCTGTGATGAAGCTGGTCTGTGCTGACATCCACGTCACTAGTTACTACGGCCTATTTGTACTATTCTTTGTGACCGGTGTGGATGTGTTTTTTATCGCCGTGTCCTATATCCAGATCCTCAGGGCCATCTTCAGCCTCCCCACAAAGGACGCCCGGCTCAAGACTTTTGGGACCTGCGGCTCCCACCTCTGTGCCATCTTAGCCTTTTACATGCCAGCTCTCTTCTCCTTCCTCACATACCATTTTGGCCACAATGTGCCCCTAAATTTCCACGTTCTCATTGGCAATGTGTACCTCCTGGTGCCCCCCATGTTAAACCCCATCATTTATGGGGTGAGGACCAAACAGATCCGGGACAGGCTTCTCCGGCTCATTACTCATAAAGGGACTAAGTTTTTCTCTTGGTGCTCTGGCTCTCAGACCAAGTTCCATGCAGATCTGGGTAGTGACTTGGTCCTGGGCCCTCTTCCCTGAATCACTTGCTGATCAATGAGAGACATTAAATCATTTCCTGACCTTAGTCTGCTTTGTCAGCATGACAAACTGGGGAATCGGTCTGTGTACAACTCATTAACTCATAGGGTTGCCACCTTTGTAATTTCTGGTAACTGAACCCCTGATGTCCTGCCCCCTGCCCTGCCTCTCCCTCCAATGCCCAGCTTCTACTCCACATCTCATCTCAAGGCTCCACCCACTTCTGCACTTTTCCCCGCAAGGCGCTGACCCTCTCGCTTGCTCCTCTTCTCCAC